CCATTGACTGAAACTACAGTATGTGGAAAACTGCAACTAATGTTTGCATGTGGCAAAGTCTTTGTGGAATACTCAGAAAGCCGGCAGAAAATCGGCTGAATCGGAATTTCGAATGAATGGACATTGACAACTCAAAGAGCAGCTGTAAAACTACGACTGTTCTCAAACTAATCGCACTGAAGCGAGAGGGCCAAAAACAAAAAACATATTGACAAAAACTCTGACTTCTGCGGTGTCACGTGTCATTAAAGGTCAGTTGACCATTGGCAAACATCATAATGACCTTTTGTGCATCGTCCTGGTGTGTCCCAACTTTGTTTGTGATCCAACTTTGTGAACACTCGCTCTGTTCATGTTAGCAGTTGATATCGATCTTCTCATGTGCAAATCGTGACGCTTGCAACTTTCTTTGCTACAATATGTAACAAGCTAAAGGTTGACCTTGAGAATGACTCTAAAAGGTCTACAAGTCTGAAGAGGATTTTTTTTTTTCTGTCACTCTAAAACACTGATTTAAATAATCTAAGTTTCTGGTTGACAGCACCAGAGCTAAAAGACTACGAAAGTTCTGTGTGTGGTATTTTCTAACATGTTTCCATTACAAAAACACACTCGAAGTGTAATTTGAGAGCGCATGAGGGCATACATGTGTCTGAACATCTGAACTTGTTAGGTCACCTGTACAAAGATGCCATTCGCCTCCACACATTTGGAACAGACGGCTCATTCAGCAGGACACCACATCTCCAGAATAATCTGCTTATTTTCTTGTTTCTCCGGTTTGTGACATGCTGAGCTCTGACAAACTTAAACAGACCATGACAAACACTCTGTACAGAAAATTGCACATTTTCAAGTTCATTAGTGAAGCACAAAAAGGCTAACACACAGTTTATTTTAAGATATCAGATGACTGTCAGTAAGCCTTGCCCCCTAGTTCTTTTTAAATAAAATGTAATCAAAGAATAGAGTTTTGAGGCGAAAGAGTCTGAAAGCTAAAAAACTTAAACTTTGTCTCAGCAACTCATGTGCAGGAAAATGTGTCTTTTAGCATTTTGTAATTATCATTTCATAATTTACGTCCACTTGATTATCTAATATGGGTCATACATTTCATTCTCTTTTATGGGTTCGTTTGCAGACCTCTTCCCTTCGTATAAGACTTTTCTGTTGCATCGGTAGCCATGCTGTACTGATTATTCAGAAGCCGGCTGTGGGACATCTGGGCCCTGGTTAGGTTTGACATGCCACCCTGTTAGAAGACTGACAACAAGAGACAGTAATGACAACCTCCCCCTCCCTGATCTCTTGCCAGGATGTCATCTTTGATTTTGCATTTGTATTATCAGCACTGATTCATATTTATTTCTGGTTCAGAATTTTGACATAGTTGAAAGGATTCAAATGAAAAAAGAAAATGTATGAAAAGCAAAGATGAGCTATATTTTCAGCAAATTTACTGTCTCCCCAATAAGAACATTTGTTGGTTATTCTGTTTTTTCATGCAAACGTTTTATGTCTCCGGTAATAAACATTTTAAGTTCAACTGGAAACACTATTATTAGCTGTTTCTGGAGCATTGAGTCTATCTTATCCACATGGGGCATAAAAAAATACTATTTAAAGTAAAACTATCTACCATTTTCTGTGCACTATAGGATAAGTGTGAATGCTAAAACAAAGCACAACAGAAGCACAAACAGAGAATAGTGAGTGTACAGGCTCAACATTAGCAGTTCCAGTTGTAATATGACATGAAACATGAGCCTTTTATCTGTAAAAATGTTTCTAACAACTGTTTACAGCTTCACATTATAGTAAATGTGTCCTCTTGCTTTGAATTAGATGAAAACCCGAAACACTTAATATGAAGCTAACTAGTTCTGGACAGCTTGAGGGAAACAACTATATTTGCCAAACTGTTTATATGTAACACATTACATCTACATAAAATCTTTATTATATCTATACACAGCAGGAATCAGTTATTATTCTGCAATGGGGAAAAAAAAACACTTTGTGTTTCTCCAAACCACACAATCATCTTGCTTTTAACTTCGGATAATATCACAGGTGGAGCTTGTTCATGTGGAATATTTGCACACAGGGAAGTGAGCAGTGTCATTAAAATGGCAAATTCACAGCAAATAGAAAAAACTTTCTAAAAAACAATAAAAGATGAGCTCCAATGTTTATTTATGTATATGTTGTTTATGACTTAGACTAATAAAAAAGATTTAACATAATTTGCCAGAGAAAGCAAGCCTGTCTGTAATCAAACTCTGGAGGAGCTCACTGGACCACAGACAATTTGTTTGCTTTTATTTAACCGATCCAAAACTTGTAGATCTAACGACTATTCACTGACACAACAAAGCAGGCCTGTTTACTGCATGACCCAGATCCTCACCAGAAATGGCCATTTCCAGTATGTAGGTTGCTAGTTTCGGAGGTTGTTGTTGTGGTTTGCAGTAGCAAAGCTAGTGGAAAGCGAGGAGAATGTAAGTTAAATATGTAGCCAGTCGAACTCTTTAACCCACAATCTGCATCCGGTGAGTTACACTAAACATAGGCTATGGTTTTGTAAACGGAGTAGCTGTTCCCTTCTGCCACCAGTCCTTATACTAGGCTAAGCTGTCGGGCTGTTGAAATGTATATTTATCATCCTTACATAACAATAGCAATGGTGTTATTTTATGTAACTCTTAGCAAGAAAGCAAATTTCAAAAATGTTAAACTATTGAGAGATCAAGATGAATCCAACTGGAACTTTCAATGATGTGCCTTCTTGCACATTCCAAGTTTCTGAGTTACAGATGAACTGAATTCCTGCAGATAAAATTGGACAGCTCTTTGCATTGTATGGTGCACCATGTTCGCAAGTTTTCATTGACTGTTACTGTGTTTTGGAAAATTGCCAGCTGCTTCTCCCCTTTGTGGCAGTACCTCGCTGTGTCTTTGTGTCGGTGATATCCACTCCTTTTGAAACTGACTCTAAGTCGGGGGTTTGAGGCTCATGTGCTCATTCATGGTCCAAGTTACATCAGCCAGCTCCAGCAGCACATCAACCCCCAAGACGCTGCGGCGGGGCATGACCTACATGTGTCATTCAGGATTCATGACCAAGCGTCACCCTGCCGACAGGTGTTCAAACCTGTACTTTTTATTTCTACCCACAGCCTACAGTCTTGTCTACAGAGGCCTTACTGTAACAAAATGTTCCAGTGTGCAACATTCATTTTGATTTTAGGCGTACTCCTCAGCCTCTGTAGACAGCTGTGTCATTTCGTCTCTGGCAGTGGTGTGCTTGTACTATCTCTGACACTTTTTAAGTAGCAGGCTGGTGCCAAGAAACAGGACGATAAGTTTTCTCACAATTGTGCTATCCCTTATTTCTTGTTTTTCATTCGATTTCAAACTAATTTCTTTACAGTCTTTACTAGTCACCATGAGTGTGAGTCCGGAATTTTTACATATCCCCACAATCATCAAGAAACACTACCAGTTCCATACTATTACAACTGGAGATACTTAAAAATCCATCTGTTGAAGACATATAGTAAGTGGGGCCCTATTAAGGGAAGAAATGATTATATCACTTCACCCTGTTATGTAAGTAAGGTGTACAGAGAACAGACTGGGTGTGAGAGGGAACGTGCACAATCACTATGTGGCAACCATGTATTTTTAGCATTGAAAAGGGCGACGATAGAAACTGGACTCACTGCTTAAACATACCTCAGCTAAAATGTTCTCTACAGGCTGAATCTAGTCTTTGTTCTCAGTTGCCACTCTGAGGTTATTGGTGCCTAAAACTGCACAAACATAACACATTGGCTAAGGAAGAGAATGTCTGAAAAGCTCCCCAGAGAGAAGGCACAGTAAGGAAAAAAATCCCTTTGAGATCTGAATGATATTGTCAAATGCATCAGATGAGTGATTGCACACACACAATAAAAGAGAGGAAGGCCTAAATCAACTGATCAGTAAATGACAGTTATTTACAAAGATGGAAATGTCGTAAGATAAACTGTGGTGGTCCTTTGCAGTATGAAGAGGGGAGAATCACAACTGAGCCATGTGGGCTTTGCTGCCAAGATTTTGGAGATCAAATTGAGTTAAAATTATCTTGGCAATTTTTTACAATATTCCCCAGTAAAGCATGATAACAGTCTGCCCCTGCGATTGCAGTCATAACATATGTATTAGTCCTAAGTGAGCCCTGCAGGCCACACTCAGCATGCTGCTGTCTGCTGTTACATAACGTCATGATCCATATTTTTAACTTTATTCATAACCCCTGTATGTTATCCATTATTAACCCCTTCAGAAATAACCATTCTAACTCATATTCAGAAGATGCAAGCTTTTGGTGTGGCAGTGGAAGCTTTAAGATACAAACTGGGAACAATAATAGTCTCCTTTGTGCTTTTCTCGTGAAGTAAACGCGGAAAAAAAGGGGGCAGCACAGCAAATAGGCAAATTCACAACTGCTTCCGTGCAAAAGGTATCTTCAGTCCACAGGATGAACTGGTGCGTTCAGTGGCTGGAGTTAAAAGTCTATGAAACCAAGAGTTAAAGCGAATTCTGTTGTTGGAGTAAGAAAAAGAAAACAAAGGTTCGCGCTTCCAGTGACGCCCTGCAGGAAGCTACACGCACACAAACACACACACAGCCACTGTTGCTCTTTAACTTAAATGCACACATTTGATGCATAACTCGAATGTTAATATACAGGAAAAAACTATGTAATGTCAGTAAAACCCATGCACTAGTAAACCTTCTTTTATTTCCATATCCTCTTGCTGGAGCCGCTTCTTAGAATTAATCAGAATTAAAAATGCGCGCTCCCGAGTCCATCAAGCATGGTGGCCAAATTAACCAGCGAACCACATGCACGGGCGGGGGGTGGGTTGAATTATCACAGTAATAATAATAATTGGCTGCTACTACTGCAAATAAAAGTAAAGGCTGGATGTGTAAATGTTGGGGGGTCTTACCTACTGCTCCGGCGGACAGACAGCTGCGTGCAGCCTGGAGGAGGAGGAGGAGGCGGACTGGTGGAAACAGGAGTTGGAGACCCTTCCCATTTAACAAGCGAGGAGCCTGAGTGGAATTTTCCATCTGCCATGTGATGATGGCAACTCTCGGGGCGTCGTGTTACTGCTCTGGTCTGCTGGGGGGCTTCTTCACCCCTCTCCCCAGATCCCTCCCCCCTCCACTTTTCTTTCTTCCAGGTGAAAAGACCCGAGCCTCACTTATCCCTCACTTGATCTCTCATCTCACACAGCGCCATTGTTATCCTCAGATATGACAATCAACATGCATATTTATACTGGCTCAAGTGTGGAGCTTGCGCAATGTTTTAGTGAGATTAAATGAAAGGTTTGTTTAATGAGTGTGGTGCGTTTACTGACATGTGGTGCGTTTACTGGCGCTTTGTTTACACCTGGTTGGAATGCAGCTCCGCACACTCCCCATTCACTACTATTAAATGGTATTAAAGGGAAAGAGGGAATAAAATAAGGATTTGTCTTTTATATATCTGGTGGGTATAATTGCTCAAGCACTGATTTTCAATATAACTCCAGTTGATGCCTCCGTGTATTTAAACGTATAGAGCTCAGAGGATTGAAACAATAACCCTCAATAGCCAGGCTATTATGGGAAGAATGTTATCCACAATTCAAAATACATATATTGGTAACTGACCAACAAATCTAAAAAAATATGTAGCGTTCAGTAGAAGGTCTAACAATCCCACAAATTTAACCTAAATTATTTATTTTTCAAATAAACATCTAAAAAAAGTGTTTAAAAAAAATCCTGGATTTGAACTGTAATCAGCATCTGCAACTTAATTAAAAAAGTTTGTCCCCTCCAACAAGTTCGGTGGAAATCAGTTTCATCTCTTTTGCAAAATCATGTGAACAATTACAAAAACTAACAAATAGACACATGTGAAAGCATGACCTCCTTGACAGAGAGAATAATACCATATATTTTAAACTTATTTAAGCAGTTGTATTATTTTACCCCAGAAAGTGGAAGCTGCATTTGCACCATAATTCAAAATATTTGTCCCAGGCACAGGCCTCATCCCTCCAACAAGTTTGGTGGAAATTTGTTCAGTAGTTTTCTATAAAATCCTGCCAACAAATAAACCAACAAACAAACAGACAGGTAAACACTCGGGTGAAGACATAACATCCATGGCAGAGGACATTATAATTATATTTTTAATTTGAATATGAATATTATTTTAGCAGTTGCAGATTACAGGAGAAAGAGGAGACTACATGTGTACAATACAGTCATAGCAGAATGCCAGTGTCGGATATGATTATGTCAATAAATTAACATGGGTGACATTCGATCTCTTGCTCTCTGAAGGGTAAATAAAGATCATGCGACTGCTTCCTGTTTACTTTTCCAACCACTCATCAACCACAGGTTGATTGTTATTATTATAGATGACCATTATCACAAGCAAACTCAATATAGAAAGACAGGGCGAGCTGCAGCAACACTGTGGACACAAGTTTCCAGCTGCAGCTGTTCGTCTATGCAACCATCATGCCAGGTACAAGTGATGTCATGAGGGTGCAGGAAAGAAGGACTCTCAGGGAGGTCTGTCCACTGCTGCCAGAGAAAAAAATATGCAACTGCATTGATCATATTTTTATATTACACAGATCCTGCGTGATGAGTTGAAAAGCTGCCATTTTCAAAGATTAATAAACTACCAGCAATCAGTTGATTAAGAGAGAAGTTTTGCAAGTATTATGACTAAAACTGCGCAAACATAACATTTTGGCTACAGGAGAGAAAGTGAGAATGAGAGTGCACATGTCTGAAAAGCTCCCCAGAGAAGGCACATTAAGGAAAAAAAAACCCTCGAGGGCTGAATGATATCTTCAAATGCATCAGATGATTGATTGCAGTTACAGAATAAAAGAGAGGAAGGCCTAAATCAAACAAATCAGTAAATGACAATTATTTACAAAGATGGAAACGATATAAGTTTAACTGTGGTGATCCGTTGCAGTTTGCAGGGATGAGAATCACAACCGTACTATGTGGGCTTTGGGGTTTTTGGAGATCAAATCGGGTTAAAATTAACTTGGCAATTTTGTACAACATTTTTCAGATAAGGATGACAACAGTCTGAGCCTGCAAATGCAGTCATAACAATAAATAATCAAATAGTCAATTCAAAAGTAAACAACACATTGATCATAAAACTAATCATCACTTGAAGTGATAAATAACATTCAAATATAGGCCCAGTCATTTCCCTACATGGGGAGATTTATTATAGGCAAGTGTATATCTACAGTATGGTTTTACTATATCTATTTCTGTAAATGGTAAGAAAACCTGATGATGATAGCTTTAGAAAGTGGCAAGTGGCAATTATCACCACAATTACTAATAATCAAATCAAAATTGGGTGTCTAATTTTCTCTTTTACCCATCAATCAAACAATGTGGGTGGTTCTTTTTTTTTATCTGGTGTCAGTCACCAGATAAAATTCATCTTCTTTCTACTTCACACAATCCAAGAATGAAACACAAGCCAGAGCAACATGTCACTTTCCTTGTGCTGAAAGAAACAGACACCAGACTCCAGGGCTGCGTTTCCGCACACATGAAAAGCTATTGGTAGAGATGGATTGATTGAAGCGTCATTCAGCCAATCACAGCCATTTGACCAACCCACCAGGTCCGGCTAAAGTGAACAGCTGAAGCGCGTTAAAGTGACGTGAACACGTGTCTATCAGTCACCTCGTGACATGTCAGTAAGAGGTCGCTACAGGCACACGGTATGAAACTGTTATTTCACCTCTGAGTTAAATACAAACATGTTTTATCACTTGTTTATCTCACGTTAGCTAACATTTAGCTCGTGAACATAAAGGGAAATGAGCTAGTTAGCTAGCTTCCTCAGCAACACCTTGACACAATCCAATGTTAGCTGACATTAGCTACTTAGCGTTACCAGAGGTAAAGTCTTCTTGGGTGACCTCTTCCAATTGATGTTGATACTGTCTCTCTTCACTTTTACACTTAACATTTGCTTGATATAAAGCAGCGTAGTTCCATTTTAACTGGTCATCATGCTAACTGTATGTTTTTGTTTGTGGTAACAGATTTAACATATCGAGGAAATTCGTTGGCATCAAAACTTGCTTCAAAATGTCAGAACCTTGTTTGTTCCATTGTGCCATACATTTTCATTTGTTTTAACACGCCACCCTTTAGAGTGAGTTACAGTATATACATCAGTTAAAATTGATTTGATTACAATACATTTTAAACATGATTTGTTTTCTGGTGTGTAGCCCAAGATGTGTTAAGAGTATAATATTCTGTCAGGGGGGTTACATCTGTTCCATATGCTAAGGTTGTCTTGGAGCCACTGTTACCTCTGTGGCGACATGGGGGGGCATGGTAGTGTGGAGTTAATCTGTCCTGATTTGTCTTTCTAATGTGTACATCTGTTTATGCATTTGTGTCATGTTGGGATGTGTAAATGTTTGAATGTTCACTAAACAGATTGTAGAATAAGAAAAAAGAGCACGTCACTTCAGAGATCGAATGCCAAGCATGTGACAGACAGAAATCATCACATGCCAGCTGTAGACATGGGAGTTTATATTCTTCATGATTCATGATATTCAAGACATTGATCAACAAATTCCCACAACTTGCCTTATGCTTTCCACATGCGTCATGTTCAGCACACACCTTTCAGACAAATCATTTGTTGATCAGGTCATCATGGTATTGTCTGAAAATAACAGCACTTGCAATACAATAACTCCTGAAAACAAATTATAAACCGAAATGTTTCCCTGATTTTGGGCTTTTTCCATTCACAGGTCACTGAACCTCCGCTCGTCAACGGGAATGTCCACCGCTTTTTCCTTTCATATCATGAATGCCAATTTTAACAAGAATAAAGGTGAGGATGTGTGGAAGCTGTACACATCCAGTAAAAGCATGTTTGCTTACTTTATACACAATAACTACACAAGTCTGAAGACTCTCAGTCACCCAGGTCATGTTATACCCAAGTGCTAAAAACAGGTCAACTGAGGTTACTTGAGAGGCTGGACCCACCAGGCTGTTGGTTTCGTTGGGAGTCGTCGTGGGTCGTTAGGGGTCGTTGAGTTTACCTGAGAGGCTGGACCCACCATGCTGTTGGTTTCTTTGGGACTTATTGTGGGTCATTGACCCCCTGTGAGTCATGTGTCCTAAGGTATGAATTGTAGTGAATGTTCCTGGGGATAGGAGTCAAGACTGTATTGTATGTACCTCAACGACCCTACAAGTGAAATATCTGCGACTCCCATCAGTTAAAACTGAAAAAGCCTCTTGGATGAGAGGTGAAACGTCTCAACCAAGTCCGTTTTACCTGTTTTTAGCACTTGGATAAAGTTCCACCATGTTGATGTGGATGAGTGATGTTTTCACATGTAGAGTTACATGACATGTTTGCATTTTAATGATCACTAAATGTACCTTTTAGCACAAAACAAAAT